GCAAAAATTTAAAAAAACACAATAAATTATTACCTTGTCGGAGTCTGCCACGATAAGTTCACCGTCCAGGTGCAAAGCAACACCCAGAGGTCTTCCTTCGGTCCGGACCAAACTTTCCACCGCCGGGTCGCCCGCCGATTCCTTCACTGTAACCCGCTTTGATCCACCCGTCTACGCAGCCGGTATAAATGACACCTGTCGCCGCATCGTAAACGACGTCTTCAGGTCCCTCCACGTGTCCCTCCGCCATGGCCTCCGATCCTTCACTCATCTTGTCGTCGTTGCGTGCCGGCGCCGTAATGATTCTCCAGCTCATCACGTCGGCGGGGAAGTGAGCCGGCTGGAAGGGATCGAGCCACGAGAGAAAGGCGGCCAGGGCGATGGGGAGGATGAGGGTGAAGAACAAGAGATGCCATGAAGACGTCGACGTAGTTTTTGCGGGTTTCCGATTGGATTGAGTCGGAGAAGATGAGTGGAGATTCGTTGCCCGGGGCATGTGTACAGGTAGCGAGAGCCCGAGGGGCAGGGCAACAAGAACGAGAAGGCGTGTCGATAACAGTAACGGCTGAAGGCGCAGTTGTTGAATGTGGAAGACGACGCCGGAATAACATGAACTTACGTTACGTTTGCTATGGAATGTTAAAAACGAGTTACAGGATTGAGATTGGAGTTGAAAAACAAAAAGATACTTATGAGTGATTTTTTCTCATATGGGATTAGATAATCCTATATAATAAGATTAAAAAATCACATTCTCTCATAGAATAGTATTCTCCAATTCCACATATATAGACTTGTCTAATTTCAAGTATCACAGTTACTCATACTTAACACTCTTTTAACATGTTTTTATACTTTCAATGTCAGTCCATATCCTTCATTTTTAAAGCTTCACACCTATCTTGTGGGGCCTACATATAACCCCGTTCTTCTCGTTTTCTTTTCCTTTTTTTTTTTTTATTTCCCGCCGCCCATATGCCCCCATCGTTTGATCTCAACGTTGAAAATAATGGTGGATATATCACAGGTCATAAATTTTACTTGCAAAATTTAGATTTTATTTCGATTTAATTTTTAGAATTTTCGATTTTACTGAAATAAAAATACATGAACAAAAAATTTATAGCTTTTTTTTTTATTTTATTTTATGGGGGCAGAAGAATTATGGTCAATTGAAGTGTGTTTTAATATTACTAAATCACTTAAGCATTGATTTAATATTTTAAATATTATATTGCGTCCCAAAGCGTTATCACTGTTCTTATTTAATATTAGAATCTATAAAAAAATAATTTATTCAAAATATATGTGACTTTATATTGATATTTTTTAAGAAATTATAAAATGTTTGTAGTTTGAACTAGTTTGTGGCAAGTTAGCGTGTGAAGATAAGACCAAACATAACTCGGAATGTTTTGCCGAAAATGCCAGAAAAGGCAAATGAAGTGCTACCTCTTATCTTTAATATAAGATCATGTTTAATTTTTATTTTAGTTTTAAATAAAATATCCCAATCTATTTTGGCTCTCATATTTACTCAATTTTTTTCAAGATAATTCTTCTAATAATTATAGTTCTAGTTAATACACTTGATTAGTAAGGATATTTTAGGAAAAACAGTACATATTTATGACAAATAATTAACTCACCTTATTTTTTTAATTTCCTCAACTTAGTTAACTGGTTCTTATAATTAGAGCCGGAGGTAGTATTTTAAAACCAACCATACTACTATTAATGACTAATCGGTGGCGGCAACGACAAGACACTTAAAATGGATTGATCCCATATTCATCGAATGAGTTGATCCACTCGCGTGGTTAGTTGGGTGAGTCTAATTTATTCGTGGTTAGTTGGGTTTTCCCCATTGACTTGTCAAACTCATTCTAAAGACTCAGATACATTTTGATTACTTATTTAATACTAACTCCAATACTTAACATAAAAGTCAGCTAACTAATTAAAATATATTAAAAAAGTTAGTTAAGTTCATTCGTTCTGATAAATATATATTGTTTTCCCTGAAATAACCATGTTAATAATTTGCATTAGCTAAATCTAGTATTTAATGAAACACTTAACATGTGTCGTAGCTAAAGGATTACTTTGGACAAAAGTAAATAAATACTTTTCCGATCTTTAATATAAGACCCAATTATCGAGTTGGTTTTTATCCTAAATATAAGACTTATTTCTCATATTTATTAATTTTTTCTAAATTACCCATATAAATATTCTATCAGCCATAATCAAGTAGAAAAGGAAAAGGGGTATTAAGAAATGTGATTATGGTGTTTTAAGAAAAAACGTATCATGTTTCCTATGATTAACTAACTTACCTAACTTCCTTAATTTAATCAAATTAGTTAAATGAGTCTTATATTAAGGATCGAAAGAGTATGAGAGACAAGATAAATTGAGATATTGTGTTTAACATCAAATTGAATGTGAAAGTAGCTCTCATATTAAAAATAAGAGAAAATACATCATTGTGAATTAGTTAGTTGAGCATGATGTAACATTGAAGGCAGGTGTTGAAATGTTCAATATAAGTATATCTTTTTTTGTCATAAAAAAATGAATAGAATTGGAATAACAGTTGTTTTTTTCCAATCCGGAAATCCTATGAAAAAAATATAGACAAGGACAGAGATCACTTTCTCATCTCAATAGAAAATATCGTACTAATTAATTTAATAAATATTATTAATATATTCAAATTAATTAATTAATCCTACATTAACAATAAGAGAAGCATGAGTATTAATATTCTGTCATATGCGCACATATATAAACACATGCATGGATGTATATGTGTGTCGTTCTAAATAACAAGTTAACAACCATACTCGGAGGGCTGAATATTGATTTAAATATTTCGCTAATTTTAAATTCTGTCATCTAGACGCTTGTTTCCAGCATTAATTTGACGTTTAATAAATAATGCCCGAAATAGACCAATTAGTGCAAAACTTTTGTCTAGATAAATTACAATAAACCATACGACAACATGTAATTACACTCGATGTAAAAGCCTTTTTGTTTGAGCAGATTAAATAATTTTGAAATTCCGATGACAGTCTGTAATGAGAAGTGTCAAACTAAGGCCTCTCTTAAAAACAATCAGAATTGTATTCACTACAATTTTGGACTAATATTTATCACATCATTCGACTTTCAGCCAACTACGTACCATGCTTAAGAATCAAGATCAAGCCACACAATCAAGCTTATAACCTGCCAACAAATCCAACATGGTTAGACTTCGATTCGTTTGGTATGAGGAAAATGGAAGAAAGGAGGAAATTTTTTTTAGTGAGATAAATTTAAGAGTGTTTAATTCTAGGTTTGAGATTTAATTTTTCTCTTCACCGAAATTCAAATGGAATTGTTAATTCCTATATACTGCTTGCAAATTGTTTAATATGTATTGTAAATCGTTTTATTTTAGTTGCTCATCACACACACACATATATATTTTCACACATTCTTAATGGAGTTGTGAATTTCTGTATTTCTCTTGTAAATCATCTAATCTGTGCTGTGAATCACTTTATTTTGGTTGTTTGTAATATTCAATCTTTCTTTCCAGAGAATCTCAAATGAGATTATGAATTTCAATATTCTTCTTGGAAATCTCTTAACTTGTATTGTAAATTGCTTTGCTTTAACTATTCATGCAATCATTGACATTTAATTTTTTTTTATCCATTGAACCTCAAATGAAGCTGTGAATTCCTATATGCCTCTTACAAATCACGTAGTATGTATTGTGAATCACCTTATTTTAGCTGCTCATACATATCTAGATACTTGTATTTGTTTTGTTATATATATTTTTCTTTGCATGATATAATCAGATAGATTGAACGGCTTGGTGGTTTACAATCCTTTTGGTGTACTAGGGGTCATGGATTTAAATGCCCAGCTCCCTTATTTTAAAAAATATTTTTCCGGCCATTGGCAACCCTCCAAATAGGAGGCTAGAGGTTGGTGGCCAGAGCTCCGGCGACGGACCACCAAAGATCCAACGAGGCCGATACTTTTTAATAAATAAAATAGTGCAAGGACATAATTGTATTTCCACCCATAACATTTAATTTTATTTTGGTCAAAACGGCTGAAATGATGTTTTAGAATCTTATGAGGGCTGTTTGATATTAAATTGCTTTAGAAGGGGTATACTAAAATTTTCCCTAGGTAAAAATATCTCCCGATATACATGATATAAAATTTAATTATGATAACATACTACATGTAGAAGTTATGAACAACATGATTTATTTTAAATCCAAGCAAGACAAGTATCTTGAATGAAATTAATTTTCACTACCAGGGGAGAAAATTCTTGGCTCTACCAACAAATTTTTTGAAAATTATATTTCTTATTTTTAAGAAATAAAACGAATACTCTTTCGGTTCTTAATGTAGGAGCTAATTAACTAATTTGAGTATATTAAAAATGTTAGTTAAATTAGTTAATATGATATTTTTTTAAAACATTGTAAGTATCTTTTTTAATCTTCTCCCTTGCGCACCTAGTTGATTATTAGAGAGAGATATCAATAAGATTAATTTGAAAAAAATTATTAAACATATAAAATGGGTTTTACATAAAGGATTGATATTTAATTAGGCAACGGGCGCATTGTAGAGTACCTTCTTCGCCAACTATAATTTTCAAATTTATTTATTAAGAAAAAATAAAACAATAACATGAGGAGCGTCATCACTGATTCTTTTTTTTTTTTTTGGTAAAGTCATCACTGATTCATTAATCAGTATATTGGTGGTAAACATTCCAACGCTATGAGAATTGGGCGGAGGGGGCAGCAAATGCTAGGCTTATTGATGTGATGGTGGGCTATCTTAAACTAGTTTTATGGCCAGTAAGCCCAGAATGAATGGTCCCGTTCAAGGCCCATCATTGGTGGGGAAAAAAGTTTGCCGCGCCCTCCTCTTCCTTCTCCTATTCCTCTCATCGTGCCAAGTTGCCGCCACCTCCTCCTTCCTTCCCCTTCTCTCCTCTCTCTCATCGCCACGGTCTCCTCCTCTTCTTTCATGTTTATCTGAATAAAGACTATGCCCTCGAAGAATTCCGACTTCATTTGTTTAGTTTCGATCATCTGATTGCAGAACGGTAATCCAACAACTTTTTACCTCTCTTCTTGTTTGTTAGCTTTCTTAGTTCCCCCTCCCCCCATTTTTAACTGAGGACCTTTTTCTTGGCTCACATATAAGTAGGCAACTTATCCGTAGCTCACGCTCTTCGCCTAATTTTCATGTATTTGATTAACGCAAGTCTGTATGAACTGCGTCATATTAATCTCTGCAATACGATTCGATTGGGAAGAGATTTGGATGCTTTTGCTGTATGGTTTCGCGTGACTGTAATGCGAAACTTAATGCTGCGCTATTTGAATTTCCAAACCTCTTGCCATATTTTCAGGACATTTTCGTCTGCTTATATAGTCACTCCACAAAACTGCGGGATCTTCTAAAGGAAGCTGTATACATGCAACATTGCAGCTTGCTGCCAACGCAATCAAGTGTCGCAGTCAATTGTTCGTTTCGTTCTTCTTTTGTCATTGCAAAATCTTAAACATCAAGCATCACAAATCTGCAGTACCCTAGTAGAGTTAGGATATTAGGTACCATAAATGGGGAAAATTCCACCTTCCTTTCGTTCTGCAATTTCAAACCCACTGCTTAGAAAGCCATCGTCTCTAGTTCCTGCAGAAACTTCACAATCGGCCGTTACTCCATCTGGAAAGCCCCGTTACTTACCCAAGAAGTCCTCCAATAAAAAACCATCCCAACTGCCTGGAAAAGTGAAAGAGACCAAGGATTCTGACCCTTCAACAACTCAAAAAGCACTAAAACTCTTCAAATCTCCAAGCCTCTCTGATGCCAAGGATGTTTTTGACTCGATCATTAAGAGTTCAAGGACCTTCATTGACCATCGTTTTTATAATTCTCTTTTTCAAGCATATGCTTCAATCTCTACTGTGAATGATTCTGTTGCCTTTCTCCGTCATATGATGAAAAGCAATCCTACTTTCTCACCTGACAGATCAATATACCACATCTTGCTTTCCCAATCCTGTAAAACGCCTGATTCAGGCCTTGCTCCTGTTCATCAAGCCCTGAATTTAATGGTCAGCAATGGCATGAACCCTGACAAAGTTACAACTGATATAGCTGTCCGATCACTATGTTCAGCAGGTCGCTTAGAGCATGCGATTGAATTGGTCAAAGAATTGTCCTTGAAACACTCAGTGCCTGACACTTACACATTCAATCTTCTTGTTAAAAATTTGTGCAAATCATGTGCATTAAGCACTGTCTACAATTTTATTGATGACATGCGGAACTCTTTTAATATAAAGCCTGATCTTGTTACTTATACAATTTTGATTGATAATGTTTGTAACACCAAAAACTTGCGGGAGGCTTTGCGATTGGTGAGTGTGCTCAGAGAGGAGGGGTTTAAGCCTGACTGCTTCGTTTACAATACAATAATGAAGGGATACTGCATGCTAAGTAAGGGAAGTGAGGCGATTGAGGTTTATAATAAAATGAAGGAAGAAGGAGTGGAGCCTGATCTTGTCACTTACAACACTTTGATTTTTGGGTTATCAAAAGCTGGTCGAGTTAAGGAAGCTAAAAAGTTCTTGGGTATCATGGCTGAAACGGGTCATTTCCCTGACGAGGTTACGTATACCTCATTGATGAATGGAATGTGCAGGGAGGGGAATGCCACGGGTGCATTGGCATTGTTGGAGGAAATGGAAGCAAAAGGGTGCACTCCAAATTCATGCACATATAACACACTGCTACATGGCTTGTGTAAATCAAGGATGTTGGATAAAGCCATTGAGCTGTATGGAGTGATGAAATCTGGTGGTCTGAAGCTTGAAACTGCTTCTTATGCTACCTTTGTCCGGACTCTGTGTAGGGATGGGAGAATTGCAGAAGCTTATGAGGTCTTTGACTATGCAATTGAGAGCAAGAGTTTGACAGACGTCACTGCCTACTCAACATTAGAGAGCACGCTTAAATGGCTGAAGAAGGTCAAAGAACAAGGTTACACAATTTGATCGGTATGTCTTTCTCTCAACTTAAGGTCATGTAACTCATCGTCCTGAAGGCTTTTTGTATAGTTCGTGTTGATCCTTTACTGTTGTGAGACACTACGAAGAAAATATGTATGCCTAAGGTTTGTTGTACTTGTGAAATATGTTATTTACTAATAGTCAAATCTATGCTCGTGGGGTTGTCCGTGCAGTAACTAGGCATATTGTAGTTTAAGGTATCTGTCTTGCTCCAGTATCTAGATTGTGTTATTTTTTCTTGGCTTAAGTGTGACTATAGTTGTTGGAAACCCCTGATTTATTGGTCATGTTTCTCGTCCTCGAGTTCTGTGATTGGGTTAACCACGGTATCTGTCCATGAAAAACTTGATGGTCGAGGCAGACGAAGTTGCAATGTTTTGAACTTTGATACGTACTGATTTTTATGTTCCATACCCTGTCATGATAAGTGGCGTCTTTTGTTTTTCTGCATCTTCCATTGTAATGTAATTTTGAATGGTTGGAGTTATTTGATGCTTTGCCCGTAAAATTGTGCAATTTATCTAAGCTATTGCATTTTCTTTCACAAGAGTTGCTAACCCAAGCAAATATTTCTCCGTTATTCTTGTTGCCAGGTCTGTGATGCCAGCGAGGGCTGCTTAGCTTGGTTCCTTGATGGAGTGCGGCAAACATTTCTTCACAAAAAATTAAGGTCGGCTTGACAGCAAAACTTGGAAACTACATGTGTAAGCTTATTAGTTCATTTTCGATCAAGTTGCAGTGGTGGTACAGATGAGAGATCTCGTTAGGCTGTCGGAGGAGTTTCTCAGCCATGATCCTTTGCTTTGCACAAGTTTCCAGCTAAATCGAGTAATAAGTGTAAAATGCAAGGTAATGAAACCAGTTGAACTCCATGGCTTTCGGCCTTTTGAGATATGTGCAAGATCTAAGCCGCCAAAACTTCCGACGGATGAAATTATTTGCTCCTTCATGCAAGATGGCGCCTTCATACACACGAAAGGATCTGTTTATGTTCTTGCAGACTCTAATTTTGCCATCAGTTGTTCCTTATTTTGGTGTCATAATGTGCAACCGTGCTCCTGATTTGTGGCATTGATATAATTGATTTCATATAGCGGTAAATGGAAAGATGTTAATTTCTAGGCAGATTTGTGGAGAGCATGCTTCCATCTAATTCATGAAGAATGTGGAAATAGCGAAATGCAACTAGCTGTTTGAACTTTTTTTTTTTTTTTTAAATTTTTTGGGAGCGGGTCAAGAGGAGCTCGTCGTGCATCTGGATTGTTTTAGTTGGGGAAATTTTATTGAGTTTGAAATCTGGAATTAAATATGATGAGTTCATATTTAATTTGAACAATATAAGGGTTAATTATCTTTAATTCTGATGATTTTTTTTTTTTAAAAATTTTGACTAAAGAAATCGAAGTCGTGAAAAGAATTGCAGAATTTCAGAATTCTGTCTACTATCGCATTTGTCAAACAACAGCACATGCCAAGCAGAAAGCTACCACGGTTGCCCGCGCCATCCTTCAAATTGGAGTGTTGGATAAAGGAATAAAAGTATATTACAATCAACCACTAGCAGCATAAGTAAGATTGTAACTATCAATAAGACGAAGAAGTACGCCCTACGTTAACTTCAAAGACAGCGAACACCGATATTTATTGACATTAACCTTAAACCACAACTGCCAAGCTGATGACCCAACACATGAGCCAATACTGCAAATCTTTGTCAGTACTTGGAAGTTCCACCAAGGCTATACTCAAACATGTTACTATGTTGAAATCTAGACTATAGTATGCGTGAAAAGCAAAAAGCAGGGGCGCAAAAGAAAGCTATGGGTGACTTCTCTAATCCTGGGTTTAGAAAAAGCCATATTTTTTATTAAAAAGAAAGGAGTTTCAAGAAATGGAATACGAGTATGCGAGCCTTCAACCCCACGAAATCCAGCTTCCCTCACTCCGCTTTAGGCCGGAACTTGCTTTATTCGAAACACAGACACAGAATGAGACAAGTGGTCCTATGATTTGCGGGCAGATCTTGTGCCTGTTTGGGATTATGGTGAAAATTTCCTATAAACATGTTTTATGTAAGTCGAGACAAAACTCTTCTTATATATTTCTCTTCCTGTAAATCTAAAAATTACTTATAAAATGTTACAACTGGGCTCTTTGTTATACTGCTCCATCTTCCATGCAACTTTATTTGATTCCGCTGCACAGGTTCTTTCAAAACCCTAAAATGCCCTTGAAATATGATTACGTTCCACCTTTTTTCCCTCTTCTTCAACGTTCCAAGAGCATCCGACACTGCCTTTTCTTTTTCTTAATAAAATAAAAAGAAATATCAGAAAGAAACAAAAACAGTTGTAAAGTGTACATGCCTGAGTCATCATCCATCATCCACCATCAACGCTGCTTCCAATTCTCAATATATATATAACTCTGATCCCGCTCTGTCCTGCGACGGACTTTCCTTTCACTCTTATTCATCTTCCGGCCTTGAAGCTGTAAGTAGCAAACTTCACTATTGTTATTCTCTCTTGCTTCTGTACTTCTGTGTTGCTAGTTGAAGCATCTTTTTTGATTGCTTCCTTTGGTTGATATTCCATCTTTGATTATTTTCTCCCTTTATACTTGAACTTTTGAACGAAGTCTCTGCATTGCAAATTGGAGAGATTGGATTGGATGCTTGCCTATCCTAAGTGTTTTAGGAGTTCATCAGTTCATGGCAGTCCCCTCATTTTGGCCCACTTTAATTACGATCTTTCGAACTATGGTTGGAAATTCATTTGCATGTTCACTATCTGTTTCTCTCTGTCATAGATAAAAAAATATTCGATAGAAGATCAAATATTTTTTATTAAGATGCATGTATTGGATTTTTTTTTTTTTTGCATTTCTTCCAAAAATTGCATGCCTTTTCAAGCTTTTGATTCACATAAACTCACGTAACAAAAAGACTAATGTGTTATGAATCTATGAATTAAGAAAATATAAGAGCTGAAGTTGTTAGCGGCTGACTTCCTTCTTCTAGTTTGTAAGAATGCTAGGAAGTGTGACCTAGTGAATGCTTTTGCAGATGCTCTTGTTTGTGCAGTTAAGAAAGGGAATGTTGAGTTTATGTTTCAAGTATCAATAGCAAGCCCGGAAATTATGCTACTAGGGACAGTTCATTTCGAAACATTTCTGCTATGCCGTTGGTTACCAACAAGCTTGGGCTTTCAGCTTCATCCATGGGAATTTGCTTCGAGGATGTAGTTGCTACAAGCAAAGATGTACATGGACCAACACCACAAATGCAAAGAGAATTGCAATGGTTTAAGGTTAGAAAAAAAAACACCGCGCATCCATTATTGGGTCGCCATATCAGTCTTTGCCGAGTTCTTGCCATCTTATATCTTTCTGAAGTGAAATACTGAATGTTCAAGAATTATTTGTGAACTGTACAGGAAAGTCACAAATCACATAAACATGTTTTTTGAATCGCTTTTTTTCTTTTGAAATAAATACAGGAGGCGGAGAGGATAGTATCTGCAACTACTAAAATAAATCACTGCAGGGTAGCTTGACAGCTGAAGAATTATTCAAAGAAAGTCACAAGGAATTAAGGAGAAAAATGGATGAATAACACAACATCTCCTTATTCCGTAATAGTTGCCCTCACAATTATTTTGTTGTAGCTTTTACTGTTCCGGGAGGAAATAATCAAAATTTCATACCCCAGCAATCCTTACCTCTCCCTTCTCAGAAGAAAAATTCCTTAAATCCTTACCCACAAAGTTGATTTTAGGTCTTTGTTTGCATTTTATCTCCATTAGTCATAATAACAACTTTTCTTTCTACCATTGGTCTCATGCTGAAGCATACAGACTACTTATGGAATCTTCTTCTTATTATTATACCATCACACGTTCCAATACCCCTCTTTATGCTGTCTCAGTTTCCTCCTCTTCGTACTGCCTTTTCTACTTACAGGGATATCTTTAACAGGGAGGTGCAGTTATGGCCATGAAAATGTACAAGTAATTAACATTCCATTATGTAAATACTCCTTTAATGTGACTTTAAAAGGCTGTTGGTTGTATTGTTCAGAGACAAAAATTTAAGTTGTATTATTAAGGACTGACAATATAGCTGGAAAATGGGAACATATCCTCTGGCTATTGCAAAGGCTCAGGGTTTGTATGCTGAACTGAATTTTTGTTGGAGGCAAGGTTTCAAACATGTGAAGCTTCATTGAAGCAGCATGGAAGCAATTAGTTATTGCATTGTAGAATATCAAAGACATCACTCTTATCAAGATATTATCAAAGATACAACTCTCTTCTCGATGGGGACCAGCACGTATCATTAGACTGAAGTTGATTTAATTAGTAGTAATGCTTATTCTTTAGCTAGGATAGAACTTGAGAATGAAGTTGATTTTTGGTTCTGTGACAACCTACCACCTTGTTTTTGGAGGTAGTAAATGATGAGGAATTATTGATGTTTTGGTTGTGTTACGGTTGTTTGTACTTCTTTTTTGAATGATAAACCCCAGTTTTCATTTATCATATAGCTTATGAATAATGCCAGAGATTTATGATAAACGTACATTTTAAAATAAAGCAGCTTATAAGACTTATTCTCTGCAATCAAACCTGCCTCAATTGAAGACTCACAAGAGTGATAAATTTTCAGAAGCCCGGTCAAAATTCTTCAATTCTACTCTTAGCATCAGAATCTGTGGACCTTATCTCTTAGAAGTGTTTCAGTGTTTTGCCTTAGCCAATGGGACTTTCACTAACATAAGGAAAGATCAGAACAAAGATAATACTATTTTCGGCTCTTAATATAAGAGCTAGTTTGATTTTTAATTTAATCTTAAATATAAGACCCTAATTCATTTTATTATATCTCATATTTAGTCATTGTAATAGTTGTACATGTTAAAAGTTTTATTAAAAAATAGTTCTAATTAATACATAAAATTAGCAATGGTATTTTAAGAAAGATATCACCTATTTAATACAAATAACTAACTTAACAAACTTTTTTAATTTACTCCTCTGATCCTAAATATAAGAACCATTTTGTAATACAAATTGCATTACAAAATGAGTCTTATATTTAAATCGGAAGAGTACTTAAATTAGTGAATTAGTTCTTAATATAAGAACAATAGGTGGTATAACAACTTACATGAGCCCATTTCTTGCGGCAAGATTCATATACAAGAGCAAACAGTCCAAAATCCAGCATCCACGTTCAAGTAAGTGAGGTTAATATACTTTGGGGCAAGAGAGAGAGAGAGAGAGAGGTTAATGTACTGAAAACCATTAACCTTCTAAAAATTGATCGAATTGAGATAAGGAGTAATTCAAAATTCACAAGTCCCTAATTCGTCAACTTTTCAGCCCCATCGATTGCATGGTCCGAAGGAAAAAAAAATCAAATAAAACTGAATCAATCTATTTTTTTTACCGGCTCTTTTTCAACAATCAATATACTTATTCAACATTCCTATGAAAAAAATAGGAATCTAGGCCTCCGCCGTTGATATTAATAGCCATGTTTCATAAATCATGTGAAACAGGAAACATAGGAGGCATAAGCCATATTACTTTGGCTAATATAAATTTTGATACTTTAAATTTATTATCATTTTAATTTTAATCTTTTAAGTCTCAAACCATAGATTTTGATCCTTCAAGTTTCTTGTCATTTAAAACACTGATTCCTATAATCTAATAAAAACTTAGACAATTTTGCTCATTGAGGGATTAAAACCTAGAATTTGAAATTTGAGAGACTAAAACCAAAATAAGGGCAAACTTGAGGGACTAAAGGTTATATTAACCCTTTTAAATATAAATATTAATTTTAATATTTATTATATCCTTAAATAATGTCTTAATAATGCAAATTTTTAGACATGAGATTTACTTGTTTTCAAAGTAACACCTTCTAGCTATGATATTACATCCTTAATATAAAATCCTCTTTAATAAATAACTTGTTTGTAAACAAATGAGGTTTAAAATATTATGACATTAGATAAAGGATAAAAATAGAAAAGGAAAAAAAAAACTAACTTCTACATAATACATAAGATTTTGGTACCTCTTTAATTTGTGTGTTTTTCAATATCAAAATTTGTATCCGGGGACAGAGAAAGTATATAGTATAATATTGTAACTATTATTTAATAATTTTTAAATAAAAAATGAAAATATTAAAACAAGTGTTATATACATGACGCAGTGTTGCGGGAACACACATTAAACAAAAAGAGAGAGAGATATTAGATTGTTTTGATTGAATAGCTATAGTTTAAGCTCAAGTGGCTACAAAAATTAGAAGCATGGATAGCATTAAGGAGACAAGAGAGCAATGAAGCAGTGATATTTCTTCAACCTGGGAAATTGATATGTTAGCTATACATATAATGAAAACATTACAGCAAATATTGCACCAACTTGTGTTTGGATTTCAGAATAAAAGGGAAGGGACAATGTATATGAATCACTTCTTCATTGAATAAGTGAGAGATTGATTCTCTCTGTCTCCTGTGTTTTTTTTTTCTGCATAACAATATCACATTTATTGAATAAGTAAACTAATGAATTAATACTCTCTTGATCAGTCTAGTCAAAAGTTTTGAACAAGTCAATTGAGTTATATATTAACAACCATGTGTTAAGTTAAAATTATTGCGGTCCATCATATTTATTTAATATCTCAATAGCTCTATTATGTTTGATTAGGTGTGATTTATATATAAATAATTAAAAATTACATTTATGTTTTTCAGAAAAAAAGTCTTTACCCCTTACCCGACCTCCCTATAAGAAAGAAAAACACATGCACCAACTTTGAGACTTGCTAGACATCCTTTTATTTAAATATTACTCTTTTTAATTAAGGTTATATATGGATATTCGTGCATATTTAATTGCATTATAATATTTAATAATGATGTGGCTGACCTCTATTAAACCATTGTTAGAGCATTGATTTTTAGCTATTGTCTCGACTAATTTAGTAAGTTAATAACCGGTTTAATTTAATTACTTACGGTACATTGCTCATATTAAATGACAAAGGACATAAAATAAGGAAAAAAAGTTTCTGAGTATACACGGAGTTATAGTTCAGAGAGTTTTAGACTAACACACAGAAGAATCTAATTGATTTATTATTAATAAACAAAACTATGTTGGCGAATAGGAGTGGAAACAAGTAAGGCCTCCTAAACTTAACCTGTGACTTGTAATAAGTTTTTTTTTTTTTTTTAGCCTGAGCCTGAACTGTTAAAAAGCTTATATTTAAAATTTTCAAAATACATAGTAAAAAATACATTAGCTAATAAAAAAAATGTAAAATATACATGCTACACAAGAATTATTTTTTTATTATTATCTTTTATTAAATTTGAATGTCATGAGCAATATTTTAAATCTTAATTACAGTTAATATTATTAAAATAAGTTATAATTATATTTTAAAATTTAAAATAAAACTAGATATAACTACAAAATAAGATAAAAAACACGTCAGGTTAGGCCTAACAAGCTTTCCAAAAAGTCTAGGTCTGATTTATTAGGCTAAACAGGCTATCAAAAAAATTTGAGTCTTTTTTTATTTTGAAAAAAGTTAGGCCAGCCAAATACATGCCAGGCTATATGCTCCTGCCCTATTTTCACTCTTATTGGCAAGGTTGGCTGCAAATATTTAGATTTAAATTATATATGAAACACGTACGAGCACGACTATTATTGCCCTTAGTGGGAATAAGCTTTGTTGAAAATATTGGTTGAGACTCACAATCAAGCGACCTTCCAGCACAACAGGCGTACGTGTCATATCCTTTACGTACCTACTAAAAAATTTTCTCGAGAAACAATCACGCAGAAAAGAAAAGGAAAAAATGGTGAGAATCTTGAGAGCTCTTCATATGAAATGGAAAGCTCATAGTAGCAAGTAATTAGAGCGTTGTTAAACAAAAAGGAGACATTAAGAGTACATGCCACTCGTGCACATACTAAACAAAGTCAGAATTTGTCATTGGAATCCCAATCTATTATCTTATCTAACACTCAAATCTTAACCCATTTTCTTAAAATAACCAAATTAAATCTGACTCTTCCAAAACAAACCATTTGTTTATTTCGTTTTGCAGTAGAAGCAGCTTCATGTGGAGACAAGCCAGACAGTTCACATGTTTAAGGATGAAGCAGCCTTCACTTTGGTTTATGGGGAATGAAACCCCAAGGTGGCAGCACAGGAAACACACTATGAGATGACTAATGACGTTGTTTTTTCCCAACACATGCAGTAATTCTCTACTCCCATGCCCCCATTCCTCAATCATCTATCACCTAACAAAAAATTATAGAAAATAAAAATTAGATGTCACACATATTATACTCCCTTCTTTTTATAAGGTCCAAAATTTAAATTGGCTTGATTCTTCGATTTTATTTAGGAGTGTCTGGACATTAAATATGTTTTAATCAATTTTGAGTCTAATTAATTTTGTATTTTCTATCATCATATTTTTCTTATACTACATTTTCTTTCATCCTTTATATCATTACTAGTGTTTTTCTCTCTCTTATTTGCTCTATTATTAAATAAGGATATACTTGAAAAAACAAATTTGAATTTTAATATATTTATTGTTTTAAACTGATTTTAATTATTTTCTTAAACCTCGTAATTTAATTAAAAGGAGCTTATAAAAATGACTTGATGGAGTATTTTGATTAAAGTCTTAACTGATTTTATCTTTCAAATTTATAAATCATTTTTCAAATTATTTTTATTAAGAGACTTCTATGAGGAGATAACTCAAATACAAATGACTAAAAAAGATTTTAGGAAATTAATTTATTATGAATAATCTAATTAATTTTTTAAAATTTGTAAAGCAATAATTTAACTACTTTTCTAAGAAATTACAAAATATTGATGGATGGATAGATGGATGGGTAAAATAATTGTGGACCTCCATGTCGGGCAGAAATGAGACAATGTCACCAAACTTGAAGGGAATCCATGCGGGCACCACATGCCCCTTCACCTTCTTTGCCGTCCTCATTTCCGCCTCTAAAAAAATCATCCCTCTCACTTGCATATAAACAACCATTCCAAGACTTCAAATTTAATACAAACATCAGTTTTGAGGCTATCCACAGAGCAGAAAAAAGATCAACCAGAGCAGCTATGGTTATGAAATACCATGCTCGCTCTATCAGTTTGCCCTCTAGATCTCACCCCACCACCATTAAAGTTGACGAAGAGCTCAACAAGCTCAAGACTTGGGAAGTAACATCCACACCCACATCAGACTCTGTTCGTACAGGCCTGTCCTTGCTTGGACACGTCTACACAAGCCTGGACGAGCTTCTTCACATGTCTTCAATTCAACAGGCGATTTCTCAGCATCAGGCTGATCACTGCGTTGAGGAGCTTTTAGATGGATCACTTAGGGTTTTGGACATATGTGGCATCACGAGGGATGTATTGTTGCAGATCAAGGAAAACGTTGAAGCTCTTCATTCTGCAGTCAGAAGAAGAAAAGGAGATTCGTCTGTTGAAAAAAGTGTAGCAGAATACAAGTTCTTCACCAAGAAGATGAAGAAGAACGTGAAGACACTTATCACAGACTTAAAGCAGATGGAAAGTAGGTTCGGTGCAACCCCGCTTCTGAATCTTGATGATCAGATGGCTTCTGTGATAAGAGTAATTAGGGAAGCCATTTTGATGAACGTTTCAATCTTCCAATCGCTTTTGGCCTTCTTGGTGATGCCAAAAGAGGCCAAATGGTTTGTGGTTGCTAGATGGATGCACAAAGGCACTGTGGAAGCATGTGAAGATACCTCAGAAATAGCCAATGAGTTGAAGAGCGTAGATTCAGTGTTGAACAGTTTTGCAAGTGAAGGTGGTCGTTTTGAGAAGATGAAGATTGTTCATACAAGATTGGAGGCTTTGGAGATGGCCATTGAAGGCCTTGAGAATGATTTGCAGATTGTGTTTAGGAGGTTGATCAAAACTAGAGCCTCCCTTTTGAACATAATCTCTCAATAGAGGGTTCATGTCTGGCAAATTACGTTTAAAATCCTGCAAGCCATCCGTATTTTAGGGATGAGGATTCAATTTAAACACGTAAATATATATATGTATTTGGATGTTTATATTATGAAATACAAGCAACAGTTTATACTCTATATCTGGGGTCATCTTTCTCTTTTTAGTTTGAACTTCTTTTTCCTGAATCAGGCTCTTCAAAATGAATTCTAATGATAATCTGGTTTCTTCAAAAAAGATACAGCCTAAAATAAAAGATTAAATATTCATATGCTCGTTAGATCTTCACTTAAAGAAAGCCATGGAGTTATAACAGATATAGAAAACAGAAATTTCTATTTTTCCCCTCACCAAAAACAGAGATATAGAGTAAAACGGCAATTAAAACATATTATGTTAATGATAGTCAAGATCCTTGAAATTCAAAACTTTTTCAAGGATCACAACTGATAGCGTTTGAAAGATTTCTTGTAATCATGTGAAATTTAAGTGTCTATGTTAATAAACATACGTGATAAATTAGTTTTATGTATAGTTCTCGAGATGAATTTTACTAAAATGTCTACCTTTTATTTTTGGATATAATAGAACAAACCTCTATCTAAAATAATTTATCTCGAAGATCCGCACTATAGATTTCCGTCAAACCAAATCCCTATGCTGTTAAAACCTTGAGTTTTGGTTCATCAATGGAAGAGCCAAAATATTTTATTTTGTATGGTCGGTACCTACCTGCAGCAACATATCAAAGCATTGGACTTATACCAAGTCTTTATAGTAACCTACCAAACAACATGCCACCCGTGCAAGAGGAAGATCTTACGTATATATTTGTATAAAATTTCCTCCAGCCATTCTTCAACTACCAGACACATCCAAGAAATTGAAAAAGAAAAGAAAGAAAAAGAATAAAGTATAGAGAAAACAGAGCAAAAACAGAGAAAGGGACATGAGGATGGAAATGCCGCCCGGTATCAATTGCTTCCAAAAACAGAGCAAATCTCTGAGGCTTTTATGCAAGACGTGTGGATATGTTCATAAAATAAATAAATAAATATAAAAAGATGGGTAGATATTTGCAATGCTGATGGAAGACCACAAAACCACTACAGACAAAATCCTTCATGAGTCCACAATGTCTCTCATGTCTGATATCCTTTTGGTGCGTCCGGAGGGTTTCAAACACGGGCGGATTAAATAATTCTAAAGTATGGGTTGTTATGGAGATAAGAGGAGGCACATTAGCTGTGAACTCCAAAGCATGATTAGGCACATCGAAAACGTGATTTCAAATGTTTGGATTAAAAGAGATTGTGAAAGCTAATTAAAAGCTATTCTCCTCAACTTCTATAACCAAGGCTTAGGGTTCAGAATCATGGTTTGATGGTTAAAATTTCTTTTGGGTTTTAGACCCTTGCTTGACTACTCTGCTTTTGAAACCATGATTTGAATCAAAACCTTGGTTTTGAAAGTTCTCCCAACCAGAGATATTTTGACTTTTGTAACTGGTTCCTATAGGGTATAAACAATCAATATTGTCATAAGACAAAAGGCCTTGCTTTGATAAATGAGTGAGCAGTTCCCTTCTGGCCTGCCCTTAGCGCTGGCTTGTAAATATTGTCAACAAACAGAGATGCGTACGAGTGACTTGTTTAGTTGTTTTGGGCAGAATTGAAAGGGAAGGAAGCATTTGACAGTCTTTATTGGTGCCACCAGATTTAGGAGGCCTTGGTGTTGTTGAACATTATTTCTTTGATGGGTTTTCTCAATTCTAATCCTAATTTCAATCCCTACCTTTCATTCTTAATTTTAATGCTTTACACTGAACGGGACCTAAATGTTTTAACAAAGGATTATTGCTGAAAATAAGCACGCATGGAGTATTGTCTCAAAACGACGATAGCCTTATTCTATGGAAACTCATGATCAGATCTGTGAAAGAGCCATCATCTTAACTTGGTAGGGTCATCAGTCTCTTGATTATCCACTTCTCTTCTGCCATTTGGTTTCTATCTTAGTTGGATACATCAACTCTGATGATAATAGTCACCATTCATACCCCCACTTTTGCCACTCCGTATTGTCCACACAGTATGCTTCCAGGTTTCAAGTCCCTGGTGCTCATGTCTGAAAATTCGGTTGTTGCGAATCAGGAAGCTACTTGTCATTGGATTCAACGCACGGCTTCACATTTGATTTTAGAGTCTTTCGAAGGTAATTTATATCTGATCATGTGCGCAGGCTGCTGGTTTTGCTCACACCACGACAAATATCCTTAACCTTCATCAAGTTTCGGCATCTTATTTTGTCACATTCATTACCCAATTTCCCAGTTTTCTGCTAACATTGGATCTCAACTGGTCAGCGAAACTTTAACACAGTTCCAAACCCGCCAAACTTTGACTTGTAGCTTCAGCAAAACTACCAAGAAAAAATGACATTTAATGATTTATGCCTATAGGACTCGGGTATTTTCATTTTATCCAACATAAACTAGCAAAGTATTATGATTCCTTTCAATATCAAGATCAGTTAAGTCATCACTTTTTCTTTTTTGTGGGCATTTTCATTCTATTATATTTTCCCATACTTTTTCTAAAAATATAAACAACCCCAAACTTAGCGTTTCTTCCCAGCAAAAAATATACACACATGCGTGTGTTGAGTTGAGCAGATCACAGGATAAGATATGGATGATTGATCTCACTGAAATATTTATGAATAAAATTAAAAAAGAAATTTTATGAAACAGAAATTCACTTTCTAAGAATAAAAATTGCATATTTCATATTTATATTTTTTTAATATTTAATAAATATTATTCGTAACGAAATAAAGAATAGAAAAATTTATTTTCCGTTACCGAACAATTAACATCGTGGACTCGTGGTCAAATTCTGAGTAACCCTTCGTGATCCCTGTTGCATAGGATCCTTACCCCCTCATCGCAGCTTCACTGTCCACGTGTCAAATCTCCTAACGGCTAGATTTTCCCAATGCGGAGCCATGACAGCAGAGCGCACAAGTGGAGCCCATGGGATCTCCTCGTCGACGAAGAAAAAGACGAACCTTTTGTAGCTTTCCTTTTCACTGAACCGTTACTACTCTTCTTCCCTTCCTTCCTCTTAAACCCCTAACTTCACCCTCTTTTTCTTCCTGTCTCTCACCCAGCCATGACTGTTGCAGACGCAGCCACTGCCCACACCAAGAAGCTCATGAAGCTCTTTATCTCTCTTCTCCGCAGAGGTTTCAGCTCCTCCAAATGGTACATTTTTCCTCATATTTCTTCAAGGTCCCGAATGAACACAGTTGCTTGTTATTATCAGTTTTTTTTCTCACATTTTCTTGGTAAAATCCAACCGAGATGGTCTGGTCTCGCAAAATCTTAAGGAAAGAATTTTTGCTCCGCCACCAGAAATTCTAGTTATGTTTCTCGTTTGATTACGGAATTAAGCTAAACAGCATGAATGGGTGAAACAGCAAAACGGCGGCAAAGATGGCGGTGGCGAGGATAAAGTTGCTGAGGAACAAGAGAGAGGTGGTGGTGAGGCAGATGAGGCGAGACATTGCGTTGCTTCTCGAGTCTGGTCAGGATGCCACTGCTCGTATCAGGGTAATCTTCGTTTAGCGCTCACAATAGCCATAGCTGATGCGTTATTCTCAAATCTCTCTTAACGTTTTCTTTTAAACTTCAAGTGGAGATTTTTCACCCTCCAAGTATCACCTTCTTAATGATTGACTAATTGATTCAAAACTCCCGGCGAATATAATCTGTTATTTTGCTTCAAAAGGATGGCCACTCTGTTACAAAGAAAGAGAGATTATCACATATTTGATACTGTTGATTGCTGAGTCCGTTTATCATATTTTTAATACCTGTTTATTGCCGTCCATCTTGCGTGTTTTGGAATCAGTGCACCATTTACGCCAAGGACTCGGGGGGGGGGGGTGTTCGGTTGGTATTGATTTAATTTCAATAGTACTTGCGGATGCGTATGTACCAGAGCTCCTAGTGTTCTATATTTGATATTGTTAAGTGTGAAGTGCATGTGTTTAGATGGATCGTATAAGAGAATGTAAATAAATGTTTGCTGACTCATGTTTCTAGTTAATATGGTCTTCTTTGATAACACGGCTCTGCTTTTGAGATGCTAAGTGCTAAATAGTCAATAATAATGAACACAGTGTGGGCAGTTCACCAGATCAGCTATAAACGTCTGAGCAAAGTTCCTGCTTAAAGGAAGTTGAAGTTTTGATGGAAAATGATAATCTATCTTCAAGTCATAGGTGCAATTAATCAAATGGAATGATGGGAACCCTTTGAATATCCCCCTCTCCTTGCTTTGCAGGTTGAGCACGTGACGAGAGAGCAAAATGTTTTGGCTGCAAATGAGCTCATTGAGCTCTTTTGTGAGTTGGTCGTGGCTAGACTTTCAATCATAGCAAAACAAAGGTGAAAGATAGGCAATTTTTTTTATTAGTATTATTTGTAAAGTTAGTATTTGTGAAAATTTTGATGCCAATCCAACTTATTTCAGGGAATGCCCTGCAGATCTAAAGGAAGGGATTGCTAGCTTAATATTTGCAGCCCCAAGGTGCTCAGAGATTCCAGAGCTATTGGCTCTTAAAGACATCTTTGAGAAGAAGTATGGGAGAGATTTTGTATCCGCTGCTACTGATTTGAGACCAAACTGCGGTGTAAATCGCTTGGTAAGCCTTGTTTTTGGGGGAAAATTACAGGGACTCTCTACGAGTTTTGCTAAATTTACATGGACTCACCTTCGTTTTGAAACTTAGATCTCACAAAAAGTAAATTGTAATGTCCTCTATTGGGTCTTGTTATATTGTGCAAACCTTACTTTCTATTTTCAGAAATTTAATGTCCTCTATTGGGTCTTGTTATATTATGCAAACCTTACTTTCTATTTTCAGAAATTCACTTAAATTTGCTTAAAAACAAAGAATAAATTATGCATACCTTCTTCCTATTTATTTGCTTATATTTTGAAATAAAGGGGATGTGTGTAATTTCAAACTCATGGGATGTTTGTATAATTTAGTCTTCTTGTTTTAGGATTTTTTTCTTGTTAGTTTTGAAAATAGAGAGAAGATCTGTGTAATTTTAATGAAGTTTTCAGAAGTTTTGTATTCATTTTGAAAATGAAGTGGGTGATTTGTGTAATTTTGTCAAAAGTCATAAAGGTCTCTGTAATTTACTATTATTTAATTTGGTGTTTGCAAACTTTGTATGTTCTCTCAGAACTTATTAAGAACTTGTTAATTGCAATGATTATTAGCTAATTGACAAGCTCTCGGTACGAACACCTCCTGGTGAAGTAAAGTTGAAAGTGATGAAGGAAATAGCTAAGGAATATCAGGTTGAATGGGATACAACAGAATCAGAGAAAGAACTTCTCAAGCCTCCAGAAGAACTAATAGTATGTAATTTGTCTTTCTTTTCTTTTTGGTTTTTCCTCGTCTTGTATTGAAAATTTGGCTCTTATCTTTCATCTCCAGGAAGGGCCAAATAATTTTGTCAGTGCCAGCAACTTACCAATCAAGCCTTCCACAACTACTCAATTCATGGAAACTAAAAAGCCTACTTTCAGGTAATTGATTGAGAATTAGTAGTATGGGATATTAAATCTCACATTGAATAGAATGGGATATGTGATACAAAGTCTCACACTACGTAAAATGGGATGTTTATTTAAATGGGTGGGTTCTCCCACCTTAACAACTAGTTTTTAGGGAAGAGTTCCTCATTCCAGTTAGATTTATGAAAACTAACAAGCATACTTCAAAGTAATTAATTGAGACTTGGTAGTATGAGATATTATGCCCCACACTAAGTAGAATGGGATACGGGATACAAAGTCCCACATTGAGTAGAATGGGACCCTCAGTGGGGCATTTAAGTGGATTGGTTCTCCTGCCTGCCAACTAGTTTTTGGGGAAGGGTTCCTTATTCCACTTAGATTCCCTATAAATTGGTATTAAAGCCATGTTGTTGACATTTCTAGAGGGCTAATTGATGAAAAGCCCATCAATTAGTATTAAATTCATGTTGACTTCTCTAGAGAGGATTACCCATGGAGGCTGAGCAAGAGGCCTTTTCATGAAGGGCCGATTGACTTGGGACATTTAAGTGGGTTGGTTCTCTCACCTCAACATCTAGTTTTTGGGAAAGGTTCCTCATCACGTAGGTATCCATCAATTAGAGTCATGTTGACATTGCTGGAGAGAGTATTAGGCTTCTGACCAGTAAGACGCCTTTTCATGAAGGGAAAATTAGAGAATTGAGGTGGGTTATTTTTTCCAACTTAACATCTAATTTTTGGAGAAGGATTTCTTATCCCACATAGGTTACCCATCGACGCATCGGCAAGAGGCCTTTTTATGAGGGGTCAATTGATGGAGACCTGGTATAATGAGATGCTCAATGGGTATTTAAGTAGGTTGGTTCTCCTAACCGAACAACTCGTTTTTGAGGAAGGGTTTTTCATCACACTTGGATACCCATCAATTTATATTAGAGCCATGTTGATGTTTTTAGCGAGGGCTACCCGTGGAGGCTTCTAACTAGCAAGAGGCCTTTCAATGAGAGGCCAATTGATGGAGACTTGGTAGAATGAGATGCTCAAAAGGTTATTTAAGTAGCTTGGTTTTCCCACTTAGATGCCCATCAATTGTTATTAGAACCATGTTTTGATGTTTTCAGAGAAGGCTACCCATGGAAGCTTCTGACTGTTAACATGCATTTGGGTGAGGAGCCAACTGATAGAGGCTCGTTAGAATGAGATGCACAATTGAGTATTTAAGTGAGTTGGTCTTCCCATCTCAACCGCTAGTTTTTGAGGAAGGATTCCTCATCCCACTTGGGTGTGCCTATCAATTAGTGTTAGAGCTATGTTGTTAATGTTTCTAGAGAGGGCTACCCATGTAGGCTTTTGACCGCTAAGAGGTCTTTCCACGAGGGGCTAATTGATGGAGACTTTGGTACCCCTTTCACTTAGGTGCTAATTAGTAACATAAATTTATGCATTTGATGATACTGTGTGCCTCGTGACCAAAAAAAGTAGGGAAAATGATTTTGTGCCTATGAAATATTTACATTTTGTAGTTATTTACTTTCCTTTTCTTTTTCTGGTAATCCATCAGGTCAACAGGCGGTGCTGCCCAGGACGGTAATGTTCAATTTGAAGACTCTAAGTCTGCTGCTGAGGCAGCGGCTGAATCAGCCATGAAAGCCATAGCTGCTGCTGAAGCGGCTGCTTATATGGCTAAGAAGGAAGAAGCTACTCAACGATCTATTTATGATGATAAGTTGAATAACTCAAGAATTAACTCGGCGTTGTTCCAATCAAATAATGGTCTTGCAATGGACCATCAAGTGAAAACTCCAGAGACAATGCACAAGTCGCGTAGCTTACCAAGGTCTGATCATATAAACGGTGAGGATAAAATGCCTACGGACATGCATTCTGAACAGGTTTATAGGAGATACAGCTACAATCCAACTTCTGCGCATTCGGATATAAAATTTGATGAGTCAGATTATGATGAAGAGACTGAAATGGAAGAAGAACCTCATGGTGATTTGCCACCACCTAATCGGCCTCCACCACCAGTACCGTCAGCTCCAGATGGTAATGCTGTTTCTCGTGTTCACCCCAAATTGCCGGATTATGATGAACTTGCTGCACGGTTTGAAGCACTGAAATTCAAGAAGTCCCAATTCTAGTTTATAGACTATCTTAAATTACTTGCATATATGTATACACAATATTTTTGTTTTGATGATTACGCATGCCCCATATTTTAACACATAAAATTTGATATTATACTTTATAATTTAAAATTGCTGGTTGTCGAGACGTTAGGTGTGAATACGCTTAACTTGATGTGAGATGTCTCGTATTGGATAGATTTTGTCTTGATGAGAAGTATACAAGTGGAAGAACCGATTGCCCTAAGGTTGTGGCTTAAGATGAGCCAACTTAAACCACCTCTTGACCTTTGCTTTGAGATTTTTTTCTCGCATCAATCAATTTATATTACAAAGCTTCGTTGTCTCTCATGGAAAAGTTGTAAAATTTTCCAAAAGATGAAACACAAATGGATACCAACCCATCGTCATGGGATAGAAATCAGTCGTCAGTAACTTTCAAACTTGGCTGACACATGCAAATAATTTTAGTCATGAACAATGAACAGATCATGAAAATGCGGTGGTATTATTCCCTGCATGTGATACTCTTAAATGAACTTTGTCAAACTCATCGATAAGTATAAAGAAATTGTTTGCGTTATTCCGAGCCGTGAGTTCGGAGATTACGAAAGACAATAAATTTTCCCCTTTGTGGTTAATACTTTTTCCGGTTCTTAATATAAAATATTGTTTTGTTTTTATTTTAATTCTAAATATAAGACTCCAATCCATTTTGTCTATCATATTTATACTTTTTTTCTTCAAATTAGTCCTTTTAACAATGGTAGTTTAAACCAATAAACTTGATTAGTAAGGATATTTTTGGAAAGATAACATCTATTTATTATATATAACCAACTTAACTTTTTTTATTAATCTCCTTAAATTAGTCAATTAGTTTTTATAATTAGGACCGGAGGTAGTATTCTAGAGAAGGTATATGAAATGTGAGATTTGAATCATATGAAAATTTTCCACATGAAATTCTTTGATTTCGTAATATTTTTTAATTAATCATTTTCTATCACTAAACCCAGATCACCAAAATAGACTTCATCGCAAATTCTCACGTATCTTGCTGGCCCTCCATTCTTTCAAACTGACTTTTTTTTTGTTTTTTTTGCCGGAGCATTCTTTCGCACTGATGATACACATGTTGAACAAAGGAACTTTATCTAACTAACTTGTCAAATCGAAGAAAAACCAGAAAAATGTGAGAATTATTCAACATACGCTTTTGGGGAAAAATAAATAAATAAATCTGTTGATTAAGACGGCTGTATGGGTTCAGGTTCTTTCTCAGTTTTTAAGCCCTTTTTCTGGTTTTAATATCTTTAACTGTATTCTGCCAATACTATAATGAATTTAACCTTCCATTTTAAATACTATAATTCTGTTGGTATTAGTCAAATGAATAGATTATGTGCATGTGTCTGTGTAAGTATATTTGAACAGAGGTTCCTTGTGTTGACATTTTTCCTACCATTGAATTCAAAGAGGTGCCATTTAATTAACCATTGGTATTACTTTTGATTTAGTAAAACAACTTCATAGGTATTGAGCACCAAGTACGGAAATGGAGTTTTAGAAGAGGGAAAGCTGTTCATATCTACGGGATTAAATTACATTATTATTTTTTTTAAAAAAAGTTTTGTTAAGAAACATTAATGTGTTTAAAACCAGACCAATCAATGCACACTGGAGGCAAATATTTGACTTGTACATAACTAGAACTATAAAATTACAAGGATGACACCAATTAATTCATACGTCATGTATACATAACGCGAGTTGAAAAAATTGAATTAAAAGAAAAAGTACGAAATGGTGTGCTCTCTCATAAAGAAAACCATTGAGTTGCAATCCTAATAAGTGCACACCTCTTAACTGAAAAAATTCAGTGGAGGCGATTCAGATAGAATAACAAAAATTCACTTAAACTATAAGAAATTTTTAATTAAGTTAATATTTTCTTACAAAAAAAAATCTAAATAACTTAATCCATAATTCATGCAGTGCAAGGTTGGAACAATCCCACTATATCGTGCGAACATTATGGACTTGTGGTTATGGACGCCCTAATTGACCACCAATCTCCAAGCCCATCCCACTATATATATATATATATATATATATATATATATATCAGCTTATTTTAGTTTAATTATAATAATAATGATTTTGTCTTTGGCCTTTTATGAACTTTCTCTTCATTCACCTCACAGGGTTGTTGAGAGTTGAATGTCTCATTCCTCTAAGGCGCAAAATGCTGACCAATGCTTGTTTCCTCATAAAGATTGCTCCTCATGGCAAAACGTTCAAAAAGGTATTAAAAAGATATCATTTCTTTTTTATTGAAAATAATCATCTTTTTGACTTTTGTCCTTAAATTGCTTTTGCAAATAATTCATTCATTATTCGTTCAATTCCATTTTTTTTTTGTTTAACTTTTTTTCAATCAACCATAAAATCACTTGCCACTCACCACTAAGCCATCACAAATTTATCCCAAACAGGAGAGATAATTAGCAGCCATTGTTGTCCGTGGTCACGCTCATTGCCATAAATAAGTAATATACAGTTCTCCACCAACCAATTAATCCGAATTCTTTAATGACTCAACTATTTTCACACACTAATTAATTGGAGTCGCATCTCCGACTATGTGCCCACCAACTTGCTTCCATATCTTCTTCGTTCCACGGAACAAGCCCTTATATATATGTATACACAACAACTCAAGACTTTCTCACAAGCACAGCAATATAAGAAGGAGGAGGAGGTGCAGAAAGCAGAGAAAGAAATAAGAATGGCGGAACCAAAGGAAATATGGTCTGCACCTGTAACGCCAAGAAGAGCTTCAGTCATGGGGACACCTACTGTGTCATCTCCTCCACCCGTGTCCTGTCCTCCGTCTCAGTTTCACTCTCCTTCTCTCTCGAGGTCTCCTCTTCTTCATCCTCAGAACGGAGAAGAAGCGCCTTCTCATCCACATGCACGTCATCATCCCGTGAGTAAGACCCCTAAAACTCCCGGAACTCCCAGAACCCCGAGGCTGTCCGTGTCCAATCTCACGCCAAGGTTTATCACTCCTCTGGCTAGCCCCATGAGGAAGGCCTTGAGGTTCACCAAGCTTGATCCTCAGGACGCATGGCTTCCAATCACACAGTCCAGAAATGGCAACAAGTTTTACGCTGCGTTTCACACTCTCTGCTCCGGGATTGGTATTCAGGCGCTGGTTCTGCCCGTGGCTTTCACTATTCTCGGTTGGTACGTATCATTAAGCGATAATGATTCTGATTTTCTTTAATTATATGAACGAGAGCTGATTGGAAACGGTGATGCGATGATGATACAGGACCGGAGGAATAATAAGCCTGACGGTGGCGTTCGTATGGCAGCTTTACACGCTGTGGCTCCTGGTTCATCTTCATGAATCTGTGGAGCAAGGAGTTCGTTACAGTCGCTACCTTCAACTCGTCTTCGCCACCTTTGGTAATCTTATACATTCAACTCTCTTTCTCATCATCCTGTGTTTAAAAAACAATCGCGATTTGTAAATAAGTTATCATATTTTAATATTTCATAAAATTTTGTAAGACTTGTTAGTTAGATGTGTTTTGGATAAACAAATTTGGTTAAGCAATCTTCCCCATGCGCTGAGGAGGAAGGAATTACACGTGAATGAACAGTCGCTTTCAGAGATCCAAGGCCTAAGCATTTTGACTTGGGGTGGGTTATGATGTAGGTGAGAGACTGGGGAAATTGATGGCGTTGTTTCCGATAATGTACCTATCGGCGGGCACATGTACGACTCTGATCATCATAGGAGGATCAACGGCCAGGACGTTCTATCAGGTGGTGTGTGGGGCCCATTGCACGGCCAGCCCCATGACCACGGTGGAATGGTATCTTGTCTTTACCTGTGCTGCGGTGGTGCTCTCTCAGTTGCCAAACTTGAATTCCATCGCCGGCGTCTCTCTCATCGGCGCCGTCACCGCCGTCGGGTACTGTACCTCCATCTGGGCCGTCTCCGTCTCCAAGGGTAGCCTTCATGGGGTGTCTTATGATCCTGTGAGGACGGGGAATGATGTTGAGAATGCTTTTAATGTCCTCAGTGCCCTCGGAATCGTCGCCTTCGCTTTCAGAGGCCATAATCTTATCCTTGAAATTCAGGTCCGTTATATTTCTACTCCTTATAGCCTTAATTTTCTGATTTCACCGCGAAATTTGTGGTTCTTGCTAATCGCTTAGGTACCAATTTCGAGCAGTTTCGTCCATGTTATGAACCAAAACGTACAATGAGGCTAAATTATTTGAAAATTAGATTCTGTGTTGGTAACATCTTTTGTACTTAATAACGAAGACTTTTAGTAGTAAAACAATCATTTGTATTTGGTTTATGGGATCGTATGACTAAAGGATGGACGGATTGAGTAGTTGACGTTATTGAAAATGTCAGAGGATTCATATTACTACTAATAAAGAGAAAAGGAAATAAGGATGGGCTTTGACAGTATAGAACAGCATTGAAAATTTGAAGTCGAGAAACTTCACCATAAAGAGGGTGGGTCGAGCTCATGCTATTAATATCGAGCGATGACTTTCTTAACTTGTTGTGTCCTCTAGTTATCTCTGGTTGATTATTAGTCCACAATAGCTGCAGAATCGGAAGAAAACCAGGGTAGGTAGTTGTGATTATAGTTCATTTTATCTCAACAAGGGAGAGATATTTTAGGATGTCATCTCATAGAGAATTGAAATTTTATTATACCAAACAGAGCATTGAAAGTTGCAAGTAAAATGACATGAATCTGTCCTAATAGTACAATTAATAAGGCAAGTTGTTTTCTGTTCATTTTTCATTCTAAATTGTTCTGGGGTTTTCTTTTGAAATCTTAGATGTCAGAAATTTCTATATTTTCAATTAAATGGTCTCTTTCAAACTTGCCCACCTACTTAGTCTTCAAGTCTTTGTCCCATATTTGTAGGCTACAATGCCCTCAAGCGAGAAACATCCTTCTCATGTGCCCATGTGGAACGGAGTGAAGGGTGCTTACACCATCATAGCCGCATGCCTCTTCCCCTTGGCCATTGGTGGCTATTGGGCCTATGGTCATCAGGTAACCATCCTCACTTCCAAACACCACGATTCATGATCAAATAATGAATTGAAAGCGTTACTTAGAAAACCATATTGATGATTGAATAATAACTATTCTAGCCTTTTCAAAGCTTCTACTTTGAAAATACTCACTAGTAAGTTCCAAAATGTACCTAACTATATGA